CCCCCCCTCTCTCTCTCTCTCAATGTATACTTTTCTACAGAATTATCCACTTTCTTACTAAATATGAGTATCAATTATGAGTATCTTTAGAAAAGTTATGATTGTGTCTTATAAAGTTAGATCTAATGGCATACAATATAGTACGAATTTAAAGATGCAGATGAAATAATAGACTAGTAGAAGAAGGTAATCGTTCCCGGGTCGTTCACGACCGGTAGGACGGCCACTGGTATTCCAACCACGCTCGGAAACGACAGACCCGAGAGGGGTAAAAGGAATTTTCGAGGGTGGAGTCGATCCCGCTAATATTCAAAGAATTAGACAGACGGCGGCGGGTTCTCGAGACGCGATCGGCTGGACGGACCCCTTAAAGTGCTTTCATTGCATTCCCGACACACGCAACTTGGATATAATGGGGGTTGCGCGGCTTCACGGTACGAAATTCGCCAGCATAACAACAGCCACTCGACGAGGTTACACGCGGTAACATATGCGCTCTACGGACCGGCACGATAAAAATCAAAACGACACGCTCGTAACCGAGTTTTGTATCGCATCGATCAAGAATTCTGGCATTTAACAAATTTTAAAATGTGAAAACGAATCTTAAACACCTTGTCATGCTCGCGCGACACAAAAATAATCAATTAACAAGATTCGAGATTCTTAAACTTAATATTCAACGAGCATGTAAGCTTCTGATTTATCATATTTGGAATTTATATGCAATATGCATTTGTATGGATTTTCTGTATTCAAACAATGGTGTATAATTAAAAAAATATTTCCTAAGAAATGCTATATATATATATTATATAATTTTAATTCTTTCTTCCGATTAATTCCAATCAATTAATAATATGACAAAAATTAACCGAGGAATTTCTTTTCAGTTCAGTCAATTTAGAATGAGAGAACAGGGAAAGCAGTTTTGAGTTTTCGCTAGGAGCAGTCGCGTGCGATTAGGGTCGCTCGAGGCCGCTTTTACGGCAATTGAGCTAAGCGAGCGCAGCCGCCTGAATGAAATCGGGATCGACATCTGCTTATGACAGAGGCGCGTTATAATCCGCGCTATATGCATTATGCACGGTTCACAGAGGCGGTCTAATCGCATTCGCATTGTCATCCGGCCACGAAAACAGCGAGCTATATATTTTATACCGGTTGTGATTTAATTTTTAATAGATTTCGCTGAACGCATACATATGTCTCTCAATTCGAAAGATCAAAAATTTCTTCCATTTTATCAGAATAAGTTTATATAAATATGTAGGTTATTTATATTTTATTTTAAATGGTCAAAAAAGCGTAAACAAATAATATCATATAAAAATTACTTTAGTATTTTTGTCAAAGAAAAATTAATATTAAATTTGTCATAAAAAGAGTAAAATAATTGGGAGAATACATTTACTAATTTCAGGACATTATTTAACACTACTGTATCTCTTGATATTATACACAATGGATGAAAAATACGATATTTTTATTTGACAAAATTGGAGGCGGATATTCTCGGAACACTGTTGTATGTTTCTCGCAAAGAGCGCAAGTATAGTTCAACGAGATTGTTTTGTACAATTTGTAATAAAGGGCGAGAGTATCTCGATAGAGAAGTCCTTTGTAAAACTTGCAGTCTCTTTTTTTTCTCTCTTTCTTTACGGCATATTGAGAGTATCCGCATAAAGTGAACGAGGCGTTAAATTCCCCTCTCGAAGAAAAATAAAACGGACTTCTAACCGTGGATTACGGACTTAGAGGATCGAAATATAGCTAGAAGCCGGTTCAAAGTGCGCGTCTGACAAAGGCCCGTACCCCCGCCTTTGAGAAAACATTTCGGGGACCCTACCTGGCGATACAGTTCGCGTACGAGACATGTCGTTCGTTTTATTCTGACATAAGAGCGACTCGACGCTGCTGATCTAAAATTTTATAGGACGATGTATTTTCTAGGATGTATTTTCTTCAGATACGTATCGCGCATTTGCTTCTTCACTTGTAATTTAAAAAGCTTAGTTTTATTAATATGTATATATTTAATTTAAAATATCTAAAATAATCGTTCCAATATTTGTTTTCAAATCAAATCGACATTAGAAAAGTAAAAAAAAAATTTTTTTAGGACTTCTGCCTCGCATGTATACTTCACATCAAGATTAAACTGATCTGATATCAATTTTTCCAGGAAACGAACATTTGATGGGACGATTATTTAAGATACATACCAAGCTTTTCTCAAATAAAAAAATTCCAGGTGTAAAATCTACTTGAGATTAACTGAAGGATAAGATTTCATTATCCATCAGCAATCGTAAAGCTAAAGAGATCATGTAGATGCATATTGTTAATTTATTATCTTATTGAGATTGCATAGATAATTAAAAAGAATTTGAAGATTCTCTATTTTCTCTATTTATAGCGAAACCCCCAACACGATGATAATTTATTTAATATAAATTGCAATATCACATATACTCCGTTCGATAAAAATCTAATTGTTTTTTGTTTGCTTTGCAGGTGAAAATATGGTTTCAAAATCATCGGTACAAGTGCAAGAGGCAAGCAAAGGAGAAAGCTATGGCCGAGCAAAACGCCCAAAACCAGGTGAGTGCACAAATTTCGAAGTCTCGTACCGTATACTCTTTCGAGGATAAAAGGCTCGTTGAATATAATATGAGTTTTGCGAAGATGCAATATATGAATGAATTATATCTAATAAATTAATTAAATTAAATTAATTAATTAAATGCTTATTTTGCCATTATTTAATAAATGTACGTTACATTGTTTATATGATTTTCGTTTGTGAGTCTACATTTCATACATCACAAAATTATTATAGAGTAAGAATTCATCTCTAAATTGAGCGAAGAAGCCATCAAGAAAAGCTTTAGCGCGCGCTGTCAAAAAATAACGTGCGATATAATATATATGTAGAATATATATGTAAATCCCACAGTATAGAGTATAAAGTATAAAAAATAATAAAATTTATATCTGCTTTTGAGATATAAAACGTTGGGGACACATTTTTCAACTAGAAAAAAATTATACACAAAAATTTTCACGATCGTAATACAATCACCTGTCAAATACACGATTCCTTCAATGTATTGGGCATCGAGACCTTGCTCTCCTGTCTTCGTGCTATCGTTCCGACGATTTGAAAACAATGACAGTCGACGAAAATGTCGCATCGATCGATTCGAAATAAAATGGCTTTAAATGAGAAATATCACGGAAGCCGCATAAATCCTCGCGTCCGCATCATATTTCGCTTTGAGAGTGCCACTCGAAGCGATTTTGCATTTATTTTGTTATGTCATTTGGGATTTCCGAGGGAGATCGCGCGTCGTCGTCGACGAGAACGATAAAATTGCTCGCGTTGAGCACGTAATCACGCGCTCGTCGCGTTTCACATGGCTCAAAAAATTTAGTGCGCGAGATTACTACAGAGCTCGAGTATAAAATAGCGAGTTCGTATCCGTCGGGGTGAAATTCAATATTTACTATAATCCAAGTTAAAAATATACGGAATAACGATCTGAATATAATCTCCGCTTTGAAGGCATTCTGCACACGTGTACAACGCGTTATAGGCACACTTCCTTTGAAATACCGGAATAATGTATATCAGAATATTTCGAAATCACTTTTGCCTCCAAGCCGTTTGCCTGAAATATTCTGGTATATATTATTTCAAAGGAAGTGCGTGTCTATAACGCCCGAAACGTTGTACACGTGCAGAACGCTTTTAAACTAGTACTTTCACAAGAATTTAAATGTCTTTTAATATCTTTCGACAAATCTGGAATTTATTAACTATTTCTTCAGCAAAAATTCCACAGAGCACCGTCATGTACGCAATTTTAATGTCTTGTTTTGCGCAAACATTGAATACTCTGATAAATAAATATAAAAAAAATTTATAGAAAAGTTCTGTCAAAGATTAAAATTATTATTTTTATTAAAATTTATCCGAAACTTTATAAGCAAAATGTAAAAGATCGTATCATATTTTCTCTGAAGTTTGATTCGGGAGAAGAGGTTGTCTCACTTTCGATTGCTTTTCAAAAGTTATCGAGATGTTTCAATATATTTGTTTAAAAAAATTAATTTTATAATAATTAAATATATATTACACCACGGTAATCTAGAAATACATTGTAAATAATTGATATTTACCCAACATTATACACGAAATATTACAATATTTCGATTAGCAGCTTTCTTTTGAAAATTAATGCATGAGCGGATGAAAAAATCTATCTGCAATAAATTATTTAACTTATTATAATAAACTATTAATTAAATTAATTAATAAACTATTAATTATTCACGTGTTTGTTTCATCTTTCAAATGTTGTATCATATCCTCCGAAACTTTAGTGTTCGTCTATCGAAGTAAGCGGCATACACGTATACACGATAAAAAAAGATATTCGATATTATCGTAAAATAATCGATACTATACTTTTAGTGAATACTTACCGTTGTGTACTTGAATACGATTAAAATGTATCGCGAGCATTTCCAACAGACGCGATCGTCGAGATATCGGTAGCTGCAAGTTTGAAACGTGCCGTGTCTCCCGGATCTTTCAACGCATAACCGAACACGAATTGTTCTGCCTCCCGAAGGATATTATTCAAAAGAAACATCAGGAACCGTGATCACACATCGCGATATAGTCGCGGATTCCTTTTGAATATATTATAATGTCGTGTATTATATGCTTTGTCACGAAGAACCGCGAGCATACATAACGAGAGGAATCGTTCGATTTGGCGACGCGACGGTAAGCGTGCGATTCTCGTTAAATTTCTTGTTAAATTCACACGACTAGAATTCGTCGCGAAATGAGAAACTCATGAGCCTAGAGTACGTGACGATTAAACAATCAAGAGGAAAAATCAATTGAATTCTCAATTCTTTTTATATTTTTCTATTTCTGTTGCATTTGAAAATTTGAGAAGCCTCTTCCGCTCTTTAGGTAATTGAATAATAAGAAGTCTTAGAGAAATTGAGTATTTTAAATATATTCCGATTGCGTTCGTTTTTCGTGATTTTTTCATCATCATAAAAGAAAAAGTCAAACAAACGTAATTTGCAACAAACAAGAACGAAAACAATTAAATTTTCGCACGAATGGTACATTCGGACGAAAGTGAAATTTGCCACTTCGTTATCGCTTTAGGTTGGATGATATTTTCGCGAAATATGAGTGTCGCTTTGGTATAAATGCAGGCGCGAGGCGTATAAGCGGATTTTTGTTGCGCACTCTTTTGCGCGTCGAGGGACGCGCTCATTGAAATTCGATGAGAATATAGTTTACGTGAGAAATGCACTTCTAAACGATACGTATTTTTTCGCTCCTAGCATATTATAGATCCGGAACCAATAGGCTTCACGCGTTTATCGATTATTCGGAAATATGCGGAGAGAAAGAATTTTACTGCCGCAGCAAAACCGTCGCTTACTATCTATTTCGATGTAAATACGTACGATAAATACATATCGAGTTTCGTAACCAATTGCAGCGAGAAGAAATAATTTTGTTGGCGAAAAATTTCAGCTGAATTAACTCGCTAATAAAATAAAATACCTCTAACAATGTAATACAGTACAAAATATTTATTTATTTATTTGTACGGGAAAGGAATTTCTTTAATATAAAATATAGATATATACAGGACGTATATACTAGAAATACGTATATAAAAGAAATAGTCAGAGACGACATAAAAAATATTATGAGAGAAAAAAAATAAAATAAAAATAGAAAAATGTATATTACACTAAAGAAATCTTTTTCCCCACGTGTAAAAACTCTTGATATTAAGACGTCTAAAGTTTTTCTCAAAGTTTTCCCGATCGCGAAGATAACGATGGGTCGACTGTCCTACAATACAATGGACTCAATATCGCTTTCGCGGTGCCTCGTAAATAGCCCGTATAGCATTAATGAAAGTTATCTGACGGACCGATCTGCGAGGGCGAGCGATTCTTCCGCCCGGCAGCCGCGGCCGCCCTATAATTTACTCGTTAGTTTGTCGTGCTTCCGTAGACACGTTTACATCACCCTCCCTTCTGTCAAACGCGCGATCGCGATTTCTTCCACTCGCGTTGTTATCTTTGATATAACGCGATTAGCTATTTTACTCGGTTATATCGTCACTTTCCGAGGGACAGACGCAACTTAAAAACTATATCGTTTCCCATCTGATACTAATTTGGCAGAATATCTAGTATTTTCATCTCTTTTTTTCTAGGTTTGTAAAATTGCCGATCTTTACTGTTTTTTTAGATTTTTATTCATAAACGTTTATTTATTTATCTATTATATATTTTTTAGAGCAATGGAATCTATTTATATTTCTCAATACTCTCATTAATTTTTATCATTTATAATGTGTAATATAAATATAATACGATTCTTTTTCAAATTGGTACATTTCTGATAAATTGATTCAATAAAAGGCTTGAATGTGTTTGTATTTTCCACAAAATAAACTCTTGATGTGGAGAATAAATTTGAACTTTAAACTTGAATCAAGTATCAATTTATAAATTTTTATCAATGGCTCGATAATATAATTCAAATATCCTTCTTGCGATATTGAAACACGTATTGAGTATACGTATAATTAATCGAGAAATAATACCGCTGTCAGGAAAAAGATTTATTATTAGCAATCCGCTATTCTTCAATTTACGCAACATCTTGTTGCATCAGCGTACAGGTGTCTGATATGCATGAAAGATGAAACGCGTATGGTTGAGGAAAATAAATAATCGATCATACAATATTAAATTAACCAATACAAATTTTTTTTTAACCAACGATCTGACGTCAAATATGTAGATGTAGGATACGTCAAGAATGTTTAATAAACACGGATCTATACATGCAGCGTTCAAACCGGAGCTCGCAATCGTCGCGCGGAAAAAACACGCAGCTCATGAAGACGACGTCGATGAAAAAGGACAGACGGCGGCGCCGCGACGGCTTCTCTCCGACATACAGATTTTTTTCCCCTTTTTCATTTTATTCCATTTCCACCCTTCTCTCGCGGAGGTAAAAAAATTTCAAGTATCAGTGCGAGAGAGATAGAGATCGAGAAAGAGCGAGCAAACGCACGAGAGGGGAGAAGAGAGAAAGAGATAGAGAGATAGAAGGAGAACATAGACCCGAAAGGGAGAAAGAGAGAAAGAGAGAGACGAAAAAAAAAGAATGAGCGAGATGAAAACAAGGAGGAAGGAAAGAGAGAGAGAGAGAGAGAGAGAGAGAAAAAAATCCTGTGCAGGGGAGCGCCGAAACAGGCTCTCGAGGGCCAGTCGCCATCTTGCCGTGAGTACAGTCACGCGCAACACCTGGACATAAATCAAGAATACGGTCGATCTTCTAGGATTCCTCTATTCTAAATTTTCCTTTATTACGAATTTCGGTTATTCTCCTCAAAATTAGCGTTCTTCCCATGCGTCGCTGCTCGCTCAACACTCATACATTTTCTACATGATTACGTGACTATATCCAAGCGAGAAAGCGAACAAAGGACAGAGCGCATACATTTTCATTTCGCGCATATCGATAGAAAGGAGGA